ATATTTTCTTTCATTGTGTTTTGGCCAAGCTGGTCTGGAGTTGTGTGAGATCTTGGCTCCATGTCTCATGGGACACCCTTCTTCCTTTTCTGATCTCCGGACCGTTTCTAATACTTTGAGTGGTGCCACCAAAAGGGTTTTTTGGGTTGGTCTTGAAGCGATTTGTTGGTCTCTGTGGACTATTAGGAATAAGTTTACCATCGAGCATGTTTTTCTTGCTAAACCTGCTCGCTGCTTATTTAAATCATGTATCTTCTTGCAGCAGTGGAGATCATTGACTAGGGCGGAGGACCATGATGCTTTTGATTTCCTGGTTTCCAAAATGCGGGCCGCAACGTCTTCTCTATCCAGACAGGAGCATGCTGCTTAATGGTGTTTTGCGAGTCCTCGACTAGTTGCTGGCTAGGTCGCTCCGTATCCTTCCGGCCTGTGTGCCGTATGCTGGCATGGATGCCATGTATCTCTCCTTAATACTTTGGGGCCACTTTGTGTTTGTGCTTGGTTGGTTGGTTGTTACAGTTGCGTGACTCTGCCTTGTGGCTTTATTTATAAAGTCGGGCGTATCCATTTTCTCTAAAAAATATGTTCATATACATCCATAGGTAGTCTATATTGAAATCTCTAGGAAGATTTATATTTAGGATCGGAGGAAGTATTTAAGAAAAATCTCACAATAGTGAAGGAGAAAGGATCTTGGTACACACACGTGAATACAATTAATTGCTAAATCTAGTTGGGGGATGTGACAATGCCACGATGGTGGTGAGCTGGCATAGTTGCATGTGATCTACATAAATTAGTGAGGCTACGCATGCTACTAATCACTAAGATTACCCATAGTGGGAGTAACACAATATGTTATCATAACATCACATCAAGAGAAGAGAAGCTTGTGGTAACATAATATGTTGCCATACCGTAACATCACATATACCATAACAAGATGAGTCTACAATCTAATAAATAAATGTTGCATGGCACCACACATATGTTAATACCCACTATAGAGATAGTAACATATGTATGTTAGTAGTCTAAGTTACTCCTCAATATGTGCTGTCTAAAGCTAATGGCAATCCGAGGTGCATAGCTGCATGTGCACTACAATAAGTTAGTTGGGGCTAGCATGTGCTTAAGATAAGTTAGTGCGGGCTATGCATATGCATGGAATTAATCGTGAAAATTAATCATGGCGTGTTAAGTGACATAGTTGCATGTGCTCTAAGATAAGTTAATGGGGCTAGCTATTTAGATTTTTATTCCCTCCGTTCTATAATATAGTGCATATAGATCTTTTTTTCAAAAGCTGAACTTATAAAACCCTGAACAAATTTGTAGAAAAAATTATGAATATCTATGATATCAAACATATATCATATGAAAATATCTATCATGATGTATTTAATAATATGTACGTGGTAGTTTAAGTGTTAATATATTTTCCTACAAACTTGATTAAAGTTTACGAAGTTTGACTTTTAGAAAAATCTATAAGCGCTAGATTGTAAAACCGAGGGAGTAGAAGATTTGCTTTATAAACCATATGTTTTCACTAGTAGAAAAAGGACGTAATGTGAGACATATTAGTCTTGGTTCAATTTCGGCCGGGTACTAATGGTACCATTAGTCCCGGTTCGAACGGCTATGCATTAATGCCGGTTCGTGTTGAACCTTTAGTACTGGTTCGTGCCACGAACCGGTACTAAAGGGGTGGTGGCAGGCTAGCGTCAGGCCGGGGCCCCACGAGCCCCTTTAGTCCCGGTTCGTGGCACAAACAGGTACTAAAGGTTAGCCCTTTAGTACCGGTTTGTGCCACGAACCGGGACTAAAGGGGTCTGATCAATAGTCCCGGTTGGAGACACAAACCGGGACTAATGGGCCCGTTTTCAAACTCTACCCCCCCCCCCTGGTGGATCACCTTTTCAGTTTTGTAAAAAGCAAAAGAAAATGATAAAAACTTCAAAAATTAAAATCCTCCGAGATGTAGTTACGTTATTACATCTACTAGTTAGGAAAATTTAAAAACTTAAATTTAGACATGTTTTGCAAAAAAGTGTTATGAAAATGTAAATCGGCCATATCTTTTGCATACGATGTCGAAAAAACGCGTAATATATCAAAAAAATCAGCACAAAAATCCGCATCCGATTTTGAATCTTCAAATTCTAAAAGGAAAAAAAGATATGCTCAAATTTAAGTTTTTTAAAATTTTTCATTAAATCTGGTCAAATTGTGGTCAAACTAATTATTCAAGAAATATTAGTGTTAATAAATAATTATTTTAGTTTTTTTGACTTTTGATCAAACTGTGGTCAAACTATGGTCAACTGTGGTCAAACTATGGTCAAATCTGGTTAAACTATGGTTAAACTACTTATTCAAGAAATATTTCAGTTACTAAATAATAATTATTTTTTAGAATAATAGTTTCAAACTAAAACGGTGAAACAGGTGACTTCATGCATAATATATATTCCTGAGGGTTAATAGAATTGACAGCTTACTATTGTCAGATAAACAACATGTGCAGACTTGGAAACTAGGGGGAATAGAACTTGAAAGGTAAGCGTGCTCAGGCTGGAGTAATGAGAGGGATGGGTGACCGCAGGGAAGTTAGATGATTTGGAATGATGAGGGGTGATTAGAGCAATGATGAGCGGTGATTAGAGACAAAATCGTCAAATAATTCAGAAATTTGAAAATAAAAAAATCAATTTTTTTCCGAAAAAAAATAAAATAAATTCAAAAAAAAATTATCCTTTAATACCGGTTGGTGTTACCAACCGGTACTAAAGGTCCCCCAGACCACCGCGCAGGCTCGTGCCACGTGGTGGGCCTTTAGCCCCTGTTCGTGCAGAACCGATATTAAAGGGGGACCTTTAGTCCCCACCCTTTAGTGCCGGTTACAGAACCGGAACTAAAAGCCCTTACGAACCGGTGCTATAGCTCGGTTCTGCACTAGTGTTTATTGGGCTGACTGATCTAAACAACGAGTCAATGGTTAACTAGTGTGGGTCGCCACTTGACGGATAACGATACCACTGGCCAGCAAGATAAATAAAGAAAGAAACGGACCGCTGGCTGGCCTAAGGCTAGTCATAGTAAAGAGTTAATTAGACTAGTGTTATATGCATGACACTAGTCTATGTTACTATCTTTATAGTGCAAAGTATTATAAAAGTAGTTTACCACAGATAGTTGTAGTTATTAGGTTGTATAAGCATTTTGCCTTGGGTTGAGTTATGTTACCACAAGCACCTCTCTCTTCATTAACTACTTGCCACATAAGCAAACATGTAGTAGATTGCGTTATGTTACTATGTAAATCAATTCCACTATGGCCAGCCTACCGTAGGTTCTACTCAACTGTGACATACCCACTTTCTGGTTGATAACTACCACCATTTATTTGGATGGACATAAGTCGTTGTCCCTATAGATGGATGGTCAGATTCACCGGGTACTCCGGTGGGTCTAGTGGAGTACCAATCATAGTCGTTTGGAAGATCCAGTGTTTCTGATAATGAAATCCACTCGGTGCTCCGTCTTGAATGTAGGAGTTCTTTCATTTCATTATTTGCAATGATTGCAACCAGAAGCTTGGGTGCCTCCACTTACCAGTGTCAGTATTAATATATTATCTGAGGATCTATCTAAGCAATAAAACATTCATGTACATTTTTTTCCAGAGAAAGATAAATAACACTTCACTTTGTTGTATACTCGAGAAAAAAGGTATACTAAAGAAAGGAGTGAAATCATGTCATCATTATCATATACGCCCTCTATTCCATAACGTAGTGCGTATATAATTTTTTTTAAATGCCAAACTTTACAATCTTTGACCAAGTTTATAGAGAAAATTATTTATATCTATATACCAAATACATATAATATGAAACTAAATCTTATGATGAATCTAATGATAAATGTTTGGCATTCTAGATGTAAATATTTTCTCCATAAACTCAATCAAAGTTTGCGATGTTTGACTTTTAAAAAAGAAATCTATATGCACTACATTATGTAACAGAGGGAGTAGTATATAATTATAGAATACCCCACATGTTGTTGTGAGAATTGGTTGATAAAAAATTGGATTGATAACATGATAACCAATTTAAAATACATATGACTTACTATATCTGATTATGTATAGTTGTAACAATATTTATGGAACATAAGTAGAATAACTGAATGAAAAACATTTCTCCATGTATGATTGAATGGTTTAGTTGGTTTTTACCATGCATGATTGCACATTAGGATGGGCCTTATCTCACTCATAATTGTGAGGTGACATGCTTGCATGTTAGGATACATAAGGTAATAGGGATAACTCTATTAGGTATATAAGGTACTATCTCCGTCCTGGTTTATAGGTCCGTCCCCTTTATAGTTTGTGTCAAATTTTGACTAAAAATTTAACTAACAAAATGTTAATGCATGTCAAGAAAAATTATCTTATTGGATTCCTATTTGAACATAGTTTTCAAAAATATAATGTTTGGTGACATGCGTGAACATTTTGTTAGTTCAATCTATGGTCAAAATTTGGCACAAAATACAATGGGGACCAATAAACCCGGACGGAGGTAGTACACACAACCATTAAGAGCAATTAACATTATTAATGGTAGTACATTTCAAATCAACCGACGGTTACTAATGGTAGTACATTTCGAATCAATCGACGACACAAACATTAGATTTTAGATTGACTCAGAGAGTGAAATTTTTTTTGAAGGAAAAACGAAGAGAAAGTACACATGCAGGTGGATGCATCAGAGAGGTAGACTCGTTGTCATGGATCATCTACTTAGTGAACTCGATGGCCCATGCGTTGGCGTAGATGTAAGTAGTCTTCATGGCGGCGAACCCGGCGCCCTTGGCCAGGGCCTCGAACTCCCTCTCGTACCTCTCCCTGCCACCCGGGTTGTGCGCGAGCATGATCATGTCGACATGGAACACCCCCTGCGCCTTAGGCGTCGCCTCCGGGTTCACAGGCAGGATGCACTCCACGAGCACCACCTTGCCGTGCGCCGGCAACGCGTCGTAGCAGTTCTTGAGCAGCGTCGCGCAGTGCTCGTCGCTCCAGTCGTGGAGGATCCACTTCATGAGGATGGCGTCGCCCGAGGGCACCTTCTGGAACATGTCGCCGCCGACGTGGGTGACACCGGGGAACGGCGGCGCCTCACTGATGACGTGGGGAAGGTCAAAGTTGATGCCCTTGATGGTGGGGTAGTGAGCGGTGATGGCGGCCACGGTGGCGCCGACGCCACCGCCCACGTCGACGAGGGTGCCGAGGCCCTCGAAGCCCTTGTAGGACTCGAGGAGCTTCTTGGTGATGATGATGGAATGGTTCTTCATCCCCTCGTTGAAGACGCGGTTGAAGCGTGGGTCCGTGCCGTGGTACTCGAACGCCGACATCCCGTACGCCTTGTTGAACGGGATGCCACCGTCGAGGACCGCATCCTTGAGATAGTACCTGAAAAATGGCACGGTATGATTCACCCACACATTGGAACTTATATGTGCTCTGCTTGCCACATCTTTTGCAACAGAGAGTATATACTGAGCAAATGGGCAAGGTAAGAAGAAGAAAGAGGGATGATCGATCTAGCTCACCAGCTCTCCATGAGGACCTTGTCCTGGTTCATGAGCGCGAGCGCCGACATGGACACGCCGTCCTCGTTGGGGGTGAGGTACTTGCACACGGGCGCGGCGCCGTACCGCCGGGAGAGGCGGCCGTCCTTGCCCTCCTCCGTCCTGCACGACACCACGTTGTACGAGGCCAACAGACGGAGCATACGGTCCACCATGTCCGGCGCTTCCGGATTCGCCGCGGACGGGAGCTTGGCTGCCACCTCAGCGGGAGTCAAGAACTTGCCGCCGGCGGCCATCAGGGTCTCGAGGAGCCCCAGCTCGATGGCGTTCTTCAGCGTCATCGGGAGGATCGACGACGAGACGAGCTGGAGAGCGTACATGCACGCATCCTCGTCGGCGCCGGCGGCGATCGACCCCATCTCTGCTTGCTTCTGCCCCGCCGGAGCCGAGCTGCTGCTACGTGGCGTTGAGTGTGAGCGAGCGACTGAGCGATGACCTACTTTGGAGGGAGGACGGGAAGGGGCTTTCTTGGTTATATGGGGCTTTCTGGCTCACCAACCACCACACCACACCAACTGCTTTTTCTTCTTGGTCTTCAGGAAAAGAAGGGATGGATATGGCACACCGGAAAGTTGTACCCGTACATTATTGTTGTGGTTGTGGTTTATAAGTAGGTTTTGCTTTAATTTTGTTCAAATGGTGTGCGTAGGTGTACTAGAAACATAGCATCCAACCAAATACTGGTTGATGAATCATTGCATGAGATAAAGTGAAGATGGACAACATGTGGTAAATACTTGTACTTTCATGATCGAAGATGAATAGATTGGATGTTTTTCTGAAGAAAAAAAACATATGTGCAAACAAAATAATCATGTACTACCTCCATCTCATATTAGTTATCGCTCAAACGGATGTATCTAGTACTAAAATACATGTAGATACATTCATTTTGACGACGACGGAGGGCGCAGTGAGATTTGCCAAATGCCTTCAATTTCATGGGCTCAAGTTTACACCTTCAATTTCAAGGGCTCAAGTTATATTAACGAAGTTTGGATCTTCATACTTTTTATTAGAGAACGACCCAATAAATTTCGTCCGGGTCCGGAGAACAAGGTCGGCCCTAAGATCCTAAGGGAAAACTAGAAAGGTCTGCGTTTCTCTGATTCTTTGAGCAGTTCACCCATATTATTATTTTAAATTTTCTCGATACAAGATGGTACTAAGTTGTGTCTCCAGATTTTTGTCCGTCCAGGGACCTCCTATATGATGCTGATTGCGACGCACATGCTCAACACATACTGGGCCGGCCAACCAAACTGGAGATTCTCAACACTAGATTATGTCGATCAATCGCTCACGGCTAAAATGGGATGTCGGACCACCAACGTGGAGGTTCTCTACACTAGGTTATGTCAATCCAGCCTTTCCTCTAAAAAATAATCCCCGAACGCACCTAAAACTTAATTTCTCCAATCTGAGGAGTTGAAAAAAGTGTGCACCTAGCACTTCCCCTAAATCTTAACTCCCTAAGAAAAAAAAATCGCGGTTAAATTTTCCAGCATGTTGGAATGTATGTTAATGTCCACTGACAAAAAAATTAGATTAAAAAAGATTTACTGTTTCTTTCAGATTTTAATGTTCATGCTGGTGTATTGGAGCTTGACAGCAGAAAATCCATGTCACTGAATGTATGCTGTATAAGCTTTACTTCCCATCTACCGTGAATCAAAGTGCTCATATTCCTTAGGAAAACGCTACATGATACATCAGAAGAAATGGGAGAAACACATGTATCCATGCATGACTAGTTCAACATGTTAGACTGATCAAACCTGATAAATGTCAGTTCGATCAGTTCCAGATGAGTCACACGACGGTGACGTGCATCTACCATTCGGCTCAACTAGAGCGATGCAAAGCGCGATTTTCTGTTGGGTGCTCGGAGAGAAGAAAAATGAGGCACACGATGCAAATCCATCAGCCGAATCATGCGGCAGAAGCGAGCAACACCGAAGAGGCCGATGCAGAGCAAAAGAATTTGAATAACCAGCACTGCAGGGCAGAGCATAGTGATGACCATACCGGCCCACGGAGAGTACTCCTAATCAGCGCCTGTTGTGTCAACTAACAAAACTGGCACTCGCACGCATTCTCTCATGGGCCGCCAGCAGGTAGCTTCTAGCTCACTCGTTCCACATAATTCAAAAAGATCATGAATTTGAAACAGTTCAGGAAATTTGAAAAAAATGTTCGTTATTTTCAAGGAAAAAGTTTGTGAAAGTCGGGAAAAATGTTCATGAATTAGGGAAAAGTTCATGAATTTGAGAATGTTCATGAGTGTAGCAAAAGCTCAAGGGTTTGAAGTGCCTATAAGAATTTGAGAATGTTTTTTTGGGGTGTGCGTCGGGTAGCAAAACTGCCTATAAGTAGCGCTTAAGGCGCTAAATAGGATCTGTGGCAATGGCCCGCTCTTCTTTCTGCATTTGCTCTTACGATTTTGTACGAATTTTGCCCAATAACAACAGATGACCCATTGAGCAAGCTTCTTCCCGTTCATCAGATTGTTTTCTGGCGAAGAAGGAACAACCCAGCCCACAGGCAAAGCACAAGTACGACGCCATCCGCTCCGGAGCAATTAATTGAGGAGCGCTCGTTCAGGAGCCTCCTCAAAGGTCACTTGGGGTGGGCTGAGAGCGTGTCACTTGGCGCGCTCCCTCTGGAAATTTTTTTCGGCACATGTTTCCGGCTTTCTAGATGATTTTTTTCCCTGATTTTTTTGGCTTTTCGGTTTTTCAAGGGTCTTTCTTAGCTTTTCGACAATTGTTTTTATTTTTTGCGTGAAAAACGCATTTTGTTTCTTCCGTGAGAGGCACGGTTTTGCTTCCGTAGGAGGCACAACAGAAAATAATGCGTTTCTGTTTCTTTTTTTGCTTCCACGAGAGGCACGGTTTTGTTTACGCGAGAGGCACGGTTTTATTTTCACGAGAGGCACATGTTTTCCGTAGTGTTTTTAGGAGATATATGTGTGTGTATGCTTACTTTTGTGGCCTATGCATACGCGTAGCGCTAGTGGCGTGTCTGTGTCCGTGCATGTTTACCGGCAGGGCAAGCAAGCACCAAATGAGAGGTTGTTTGGACTGGACTGGACTAAGCACCAAATGAAAGGTTACTTGGACTGGCCGGAGGAGCTGCCGGTGGCGTACATCGGCTCGTCGATCGAGAGATGGATCGATAACCATGTCGCCGTCGTGGTCGTTCAGCCACCAGCTGCTTAATTAGTTAGCTTGCCCGTAACAGCCAGCTTAGATAGATGATGGTTCGATTCCATCTCCCGACCGATCGATCCAGTGGAACCGCAGACGCGCTGTGACTGCCCAACAGACAGACTAGTTTGGTACAAGAGCATTTTTATGCCGATCGTACCAACAAAGTAATCCCCAAGTGTTAACTGCGTCCTGCACCTACGTATTTTTGCGCCAAAAGATGCTGCTCAAAGAGAGGTCTCTAGCAGTTCATGTTTTTTTTCCACTTTCAGTTAGATGTCGAAGAAAGTCATTTCAGTCATTTCACGATGTTTGAGCAGTCTCAGTAGCACACAACATTTCAAATAGACTTCAAACATTCTTTGTTTTTCAAATATTTGGTTTAGTCTCGACTAAATGAATGTTCAGGTCCGGTCCTTTGGAGGAACCGAGCTCGCCGAATGTCAGTTGTAGTCTACTAGCTAACAAGAGACAAAAGTTAACTTTATTTAACAGAACAAACCATCGGTAACATGTACGATTTTTGTTTGTTTTCTTTTGATTAAAAGGAGTTTTTTTTAGTCGATTAAGAAGAGTTTTGAAAATGTGTAACAGCGGGGGTGGGGCGTCACCCAGAGAGGAGGGAGAGGGACACACGCACCATGATGACATGACCATGACATCGTGCTGATTTAACCAAGACATTGTTGTTGTGAAAAACCTACGCATCCAGCATGTGTTGGTATAGTAAGAGCATGTTCAATAGATGATGTAGATGAAAACATAATCAAATTTTACATCACGAAAGCTAAAAAAGTTACTCCAAGCTCCCTCTAGATGTAAAAATGGCACTTGGTGATGCAAATTTGCATCACTAGCCGTGCCCGAGTAAAAACGCGCCACACCGCGTGAACGCCCAATCACCGCTCAGTTTTCATTTCCCACAACCCCGTGTGACTATTGTGCAAGCCAACGCGCCGCCCGCCCGCCACCGCACGACCCCAAATCGGTTTATTCGACCGCCGTGGCGGCCGCGCCTTCGCCAGCCAGATCCGGCCATCCCACCCCTGCTGCTGCTAGATTCGATACTTTTCCTCTGGTCCATGATCCCAAATTGGCTGACTCGACCACCACGTCGCCCGATTCGACAGCCCCACAACCTCCGATTGGCCTGCTGCACTTCCTCGAGCCGTCTCCCGCCGCCGTGCCGCCCGTGTCAATGCAGCCCCCGCGCTACCATTATGCTACTAAAGAAGCCGTCGAAGGGCAAGTCCGTCTTGAAGGGTGTGCGGTCGCGCCCCTCCGTTAACTTCGGTTGCAAGTTCCAGAGCGGCGGTTGTTGCTGCTGGCTCGGCACCTATGGTTCCGCTGATGAGGCCACATGTGTGTACGACGTCCCCATGTGGCGTTTCGGCCGGCTAAGGGGCGAGATGAATTGCCCAGAGATCGAAAACCGGGGGCAGGCGGAGTTCATCGGCCTGAAGAATCTGGTCATACGGCTAATGGAAGCGAGGAAGAAGAAGCTGGGGATCCACATTGCTTTCGGAGAGATTGATGAAATGGTGATGGCGAGGTTTGCGCATGAGAATCCCCAGTATGTTCAGAAACAGATGTAGTTCTATTTGAAGCGTGATGTTGAGAGGAAGAAGAAGCAGGCGAAGAAGGAAGGCGAGGGTAGCCCCTCGAGGGTGATCCCCATCGAGTCTGACTCGGAGGAGGAGGAGGGGGAGAAGGAGAAGGAGCTCCACAACTTTGACAAACCCACCACCGACCCATTCAGGAGGCAGTTCGTGAGGTATCCCCCGGAGTAGTTTGTTTAGGGTGATGATCAAGTAGAAAAGTATGAAGTGGTATTGGTATGATCTAATTTGTAGTATGAATTATGTTGGTTTTAAATGAACTTGCTATGTTTAAAATGATCTAACTGTTGCAATTTTACATCATCTATTGGAGCATTAGCACCATATTTTATATCATGTGTTGGAGTTGTGTGTTTTTGATGATGTAAAAAGCATTTTTTTTAATGATGTACTATATTTTACTTCAACCATAATATGATGACATGAAGTATATCATCTATTGGAAATAGCTCCAACTTCTTGCCATCAATTGGACACACACATCTTGTATGCACGTGAAGCGTGTAGTGGATTTTTTTTTTGTGTCTGGATAAAGTGTAGCGGAGTGCGACTTAACTAATTATGATACACTTTATTGTGCTTCTCTCTCAGAGCCTCAGGTGCTGCTGAGACTGCTGAGTCACGCCACAACGACATTGCTCACGATGACAACGTCCTTACCTGTTCGATGGCGATACGGTGTGGCATGGAGGCATTTGCGAACATACGACAATTTTCACCGGTTTGTTCTTACTACTTGGTATGATTCATATTAATTGTCATTGTCTTAGTATAACTTTCTACTATTAAAGTTGTAAAAGCCGATTAATTTAAATAGGAGGAACTACTATATTTTGTGCTAATGGCCGGAAGTAATCTTCATTGGCCCATGTTTATCAACCCGAAAACTAAAGAAGCCCAGCCCATTTACATGCATGTGTTACGTAGTGGTCTACCGCACGTCTTTTGTTCTTTTGCCCCTACTATGCCTAAATCTTGGCTCCGCCCCTGGTGGAGTCATGTTTATGTCAGAGATGGCGCTCGCACAAGGGGCGAGATCGTGACACTCGAGGCCTCCTCGCTACTGTGTTGGCAACGAGCCATGTCTTTCAACCTTGAGTTGATTGTTGTCTCGCCTTCCGAGGATCGTCAGCATTTTGGCAAACACTCCGGTCCAAACCTGGCCAACTGGGCAGGTCCTCGCGGGTTGGTCCGTTAGCAAGCATGCCCAGCCCATCATGGGCCTGACCCGTCATGTGGTTAAACGGGTCATGCCAACCTGTACATGGGCCGTGCGTAGGTCACAAGGCCAGGCACACGTGCTAGCACGACATGAACTGTTTTTTCCTGATTTATCTTTATATAGGCCCAAGAAATAGCCCATAAGACCGAAAAGCGCGTAGCACGCTAGGCCTAAATTTATTAAGTGTGTTGAGCCTGGATCTGGGGACGCGACCCATGCGTCTTCACGGCACAACCCAAGTATAAACATACCTAGGAGGACCGTGATGCGATTGGCCCATTCAAGCATGGGCAAGGTCGTGCCTACCCACTAGGACAGGACTGCTTCGTCGGTATGTTCGGCTTAAAACGGACTTGGTTTACGTTTTATATTGAAACGGACTTGGGCCTTTCTAACCTGCATGCGTCAGTTTGGGCTCTCACATGATAAGTTGCACCGTTGTCCGATGAAAACCCATGGTGATCAGCCCAGTTTGTAAGACGTTTTTTTAGAAGTAAACCATTAAATTTTCTTGATGAATTAAACAAATTACATTATATCAAACAAAAGTGAAACAACCAAGATAAAAATAAAGTTACATCAACTATTCCTTAGGTCATTGACTCTAGATCCATCTCTTGCATCTCGACTTTTTCTCTATACATCTAGTGAAGAAACAATAGAAGACCAAACCTGCACAAGCTATACTAACCTCAAAGGTTCCAAAGAGTCATATGAGCCGGCAGCCTAGGAGGCCAGAGGCGAAGGGAACCAACGGAAATTATGAACCTAGCCGCCGCCGGCTAGGTTTTTTTTTTCCCTTTCCTGATGCAATCTACCTCTCTCAATGACAAGACAGAAAGTTCGTGCGGTGTTTGACTTGAAGTCCTAAGTGGCTGTCCCACGGCCAACTGTACTTGGTTGACACAGTATAGCTAGAACTGATGCTCAAAAGGATGTTGAGAAGCTCTAAAAAAGTAGCTTTGATGCTAATATTTCGCATGCCAATTGTTAGCAAGTTAAAAAATTGGCTACCTATTGGTTCTTACACATCTCAAAAAAGTTTCTAGTTTTGGCAACTTCAAGTTTTGCCAAAGGTTATCTTGCCAAATATTGGCAATGTCAAATGTTGGCATGAAAGCAATTAGCCTCATAATAAAGTTTCAGACATAATACTAAACTTCCATGAAGGTTTCACTACTGCACTATGAGGAGAAGAAAGCTATGATACAAGGTATGCTACAGAAAACTCCTAGGCGTGTGGTTGGGCGCATGTGCTAGCTTCAAAAAATGTTTTTCACTTATCCCAAAAACAGAATAAAATTCTCACATTTAAGTGACTCAAGTTCATTTCCAGATTTCAAGTTCCATGAAAATCACAATTCATTTGCGAGATGTGAAAGTTACATACCATAGTACCATTTCAATCATGAAAAGTTACATACCATAGTACCATACCACAAGGGAATGCGAGACAGGATGTTTTTTAAAAACAGGATGCGAAACAGGATGTCTCATTTCTTTTTAAAAACAGGATGTCTCATTACGAGACATCCTGTTTTTAAAAAATAAGACAACTTTGTTTTGAATTATCTGAATTAAAGGGAATGCGTGCTCCTGAGATTAAACATCCACGTTCTGTATGTTTCATCTTAAGCCCGAGCCCCATCTCGCCTGGGCTGTAGACTGGAAGTACCTATCTACCGCTTAACGCGTCAGGTTATCGACCTTTCAGATGGTGCGAGGGAGCGATGCACACGGGCCTGCCCACCTCAAGTGCGAGCCAACTGGTATTTGAAAGGTTCTAGAACCTTCCTTAAACTAAGGTATTTCTGCTTTTTTTTCTTTTCATGTTTTCTGTTTATTTCTGCTTTTCTATGAGGGATTTTTGGCCTGAAGAAATTGCAAGTATGTCAAAGAGACAAAGAGCTCAACCCTGGCGAATCAACAAATGGTTGAGTTGGTTAGGTGGACAGTGATATCCCCAACCCACCAGGGTTCAAATCCTGGTGCTCGCATTATTCCTGGATTTATTTCAGGATTTCCGGCGATGCGCTTTCAGTGGGAGGAGACGTTCCCGTCGACGACGAGGCGCCTACGGTGACTTCGTAAATCTCAAGATGATATGCCGGCTTATTCTCTCGGAGGTGCTCATAGGGGTAGGGTGTGCGTGTGTGCGTTCATAGGGATGGGTGTATGCACGTGTATATGAGCGCTTGTGTCTGTACTGATGCTCAAAAAAAAAAGAGCTCAACCCTGTTCTTTTACTTAAAAAATTCAGAATAGTTGCCTCACGATTCGTTCAGTGCTATTGCCCAGTTCATTTCAGTATACTATTGCCTGAAAAAGTTCAGCACTATTGCCCGTATTTCATCAGTGCTTTTGCCCAAGTTCATCAGTACTATTGCCTACAAACATGTAGAACGCATGTTGCTCACGGGATTGGGTGTGAGAAATTATTTGCTTATCTTCTGATTCTGGCTTCCCAACCTCTCCAAAACCATCTGCGGCAGAGGCGCATCCTCGCGCCCCCGCCTGATCCAGTGCCTTGATGCCCCGCTCCGGCCACCTTCCCCGCCGCCTGAACCTCCTCCAGCCATCGCGCCTTCATACTCCTCCGCGTTGACTCCTTCCTTGCGCGCGACCTCGCTATCCCCTCCACCTCAAGCCTCCGCCTCCACCTCGTTGCGTCTCTCCTCTGCCTGCGTCCGGCCGCCTCGCCCCACCTCTTGCAACTTCAACGCCGACGAGCTCTCCGATGAGAGCCCAGACGAAAGTTGCCCCCCTTTCCAACTTCTCTGCCAGTGGATAAGATGAATGGAGGAGCGCGGGCGGAATTATTACGAAATACAGGGGTGAGTTTGCAAAATCGAAAAGTTTTTTCAGATTCACTAAAATAGGGACGGCGGGTTCAATTCCTAAAAATGAGGGGGGCTTTTCCATAAAAAGGGCGTGAGGGTGAACCCGACAGACTCAACCCATACTTTATTATTAGGGAAAGATACGTATACGGATCGTTGATCATGTACATACATGGAAATGAAAGGAAGGAACAACTAAACGTGCCTCCATCTATACTACTATTAAAAAAATCAATCCCCCTAAAACCACACAGTAAATTGTACACAGGATTATCAGGACCCTCGGATCAAATTAACTTAAATACATCATATCATTCATAATGCATCAATAGTCTGTCACCCAGATCAACGTATCAGATCAGATGTTATGCCTAACAGACGCGGTAGTCTGCCAATCCTCGTAGCGCTCCGCGTCCCCAATCCCCGCAACTCCGCCGGCAATTCACAGATTTCCAGATTGACTCCACCCAAAATCATGCCAGAAAAACAGATCCGCAGCAACTTGCACGGTCCCACCTTCCTTCCCCTCCTCCCATGTGCTTCCTTCCCCATCGCCGCGAGTCGACCTGGCCTCTGGTCGTCGCCCACGCTATAGCAAGCCGCCGCCGACCTCCTCTACCGGTAAGCTACGCTCAACGCCCTCCAACTCCTTCTCTCTCCATCTCCTCACTAATATCTCTCCCTCTCTCCGTTTCACGCTGCAGGGTGCCATGGCATGGAGCAAAGCTCTGTTGGACCTTCCCGACCAAATCGACGATGACGACAAGCGGATCTGCGCACCCCCCCTGCACCGCCTTGCCTAGTCGCACTGCGCATCTGCTGGAGAAGACAAGGCTTGAAGGTACAATGTGAGACAAGAGAGTGCCGATTCAATGGCCCTCATTTTAGCGCGCGATTTTTTTGGAAGACGCATTTCAGAGCTGGAAATACGACGGATCATCCCCACAGATCCCTATTTAATAATAGTATAAATATCTAAAAACTTACTTTTTAGTCCAAATTTGACGTAAAACCCTTGCTTGATGCGTCTCTCACATCACTCATCCGAAAGAGTGATTTCTTTCCTAAAAAATATTAGAGAGCTTGGCCATTGTATAATGTTTGCAGTTTTAAAATATTTGCATCAAACTTTATTTCCCGTCTATAATTCTGTTCTTCCACCCTGCAGATTGTTCTTATATGTTGCATAACACTAGCAGGAGTACAACAGAAGGGAAGTGACAGAGAGGGAATGACAGAGGCAGGCCTAAGTATGTTCCTTATATTCTTCAAATTCTCCAAAGTGCATTCCCATTATAGTAGTATTTCTTTCTTCAGATGCATCATTGTATTTTTATAAATGCATGTTCAAGTGTATGAGTTCTTTGTTTTCCAAATGCATGTTCTAATTCAAATAATGTGTTTCAAGGTGTGGCCATCATATGTCATCAGGATCATTCTTCACCTGCAAATTTTTACTCCCTCCATTCCTAAATATAAGACTTTTTAGAGACTGATATATGGACTACATACGGAGCAAAATGAGTGAATCTACACTCTGAAATAAGTCTATATACATCTGTATGTAGTGCATATTGAAATTTCTAAAAAGACTTATATTTAGCAACGGAGGGAGTAATTTTGAGTTGTAATCAAGTTAGATAGCTTTTAGTTCGCACAACTTCATTGTCTGATTATTCTAGCTTTATACATGACATTGTCTTTTTTGGTATCTTTTAGAGAATTAGAGGAGGCACAACCAACTAAGAATCATGTCAGGTGAAAGGTACAAGCTATTGTGGTTATCCTAGGGCATATGGTAGTTTTTACGGTAGAAGTGTTAAAGGAGTAGCATTACGAGAGATACGTGAATGGACTTTTTGTGTATGCTCAATTACCCATTGTGTACTGAATTTTCTGCAATTCAACACGTGAGTTGTGGTCAGATTTAAGAGGGGATTTAGTTTGTTTCGATTGAATATGCGTGTCCTAATGAAAAAAAAATACTCAGATATAACGTGCATTGCACGTGCACATTTACTAGTATATGTCAAAGGAGAGGCGCGTCCATGATGGAGGAGGTAGTACCATTACTGATGCTTGTCGTGTTAAAGAAGCAAGAAAAAAAATTCGAAGCAGGATCGTGTGATTGACGTG